GGGCCACGCACATGGATACATGTGTGCCCTTTCTTCTTTTTGTCTTTTCCTCTGCCCCTAACTTACACGCATGCACGAACACTCCGGCGCACAGCAACCAACAAGAAGAATCTAAGTCCCCTTCGCAACCGTTTCGTAAATTTTGGCCAGCCATGGGCTGCGGCGCATCGAAGTCTCCCTCCGTCGTGTACGTGAACGGCAGGCCAACGTTCGAGGGTGACGAGGTGGTGAAGGGGTTTGACGAGGGCAATGGCCTCCTCTTCCGCATCGTGAATAACAAAAAGAGGCAGTGGGCTTACTACAACGACACCACCGAGTACGAGATGCACGTGAAGGTGAATTTTGGCGAGGACTGCGACATCAGGGCTCTTGGCAAGACGCATCTGGAGAAGTTGGATTCAGGTGAGTACCTGGCGACAGTCGTCATCTACCCGTGCGAGACGGAGATGTTTATTGAGGGCCGTGTGAATGGCTTCAGGGTGAAGATGGACGCGCTTCCTCTCCCTGAACACCGCAGGCGAAATAAAGGGAAAAAGCGCAAGCAATGTTGTTAGATAATTTTCCACAGTACTTTTTTATACACACCAGTACTTTTTTTTTTCTTTTTTGTTTGCTTTTTTTTTTTGTGTAATTTATGTACTTGACGGTGAGTAAAGAGGATATTGAGGTTTTGAAAAGAAATTATCTTCTGTTGCTTTGTTATGCTTTGTTTGTTCTTTTACTTTGTGTGGGTGTGTGCGTGTTGTCCTTACCCCCATCCCCCCCCACCACCACTTTTTTTTTTGTCTGCGTGGCGCAGGAGGAGAGAGGTGTTGAGAGTCGCCTGTGTGTCTCCTGCCGCTGCGGGGGTGAGTGGGTGGGGTTGCTGCCACTTCTCTCACCCTCGCTCTCTCCGAAGCAAAGAAGCCCGCATAGAGAAAGGGAGATTCAGGTTTGCTGCGTGTGTTTTATGCATGCTTTTTTTTGTCGTTATATATGTATTTATATATATATATATATACAAATGTATGAACATTTACGTTTATCATTTGGTTGGGCTCCCTGTGCGTGGTGGTGGGGGCTGTTTTACGGTGGCATTGCTGGGCTTCTGTGCCTTGGCGGCACAATTTACACGTTTACCGAGGATTGTTGAAACACCACTTTTTTCGTTTGTTTGTTTTTGATTGTGCTTATGTTGGGTCTTGCTGTGTGCCTGAGACGTACAACGGGGTTGAAGCGGGTAATACTGTCCCCACGGGGGGGAAAAAAAAGAAGGGTCGGGGAGAGGGATGTGGATGACAGAGGGAAGAAAAATGGTGCGAGTGAGTGGGATCGCGATCAAACAGCGGAGATAAATACGTAATCGCCAAGGTTGACGGTAGTGGCTCCCTCCTTCACACCCCTCCCCTCGCTCCCTTCCTCCCTCCCTCCCTTCCTTCCTCCCTCCCCTCCCTCCCTTCCTCCCTCTCTTCTCCTCTGCCTCTGGCGGTGCTTCCTCCGACTTTCTCACTCTACTATAATTTGCACCTAAAGCAGCGTGCCCCGCAAACCTGGAAACGTGTGGAGGGTAATAGAAAAGGAAAAACAAAACGACGGCAATAATATTTATTTTGCGCGCTACTGAACCACTTTTTTTTTTGTTATTGTTTGCTTGTTACATGCATTAGTGCTGTATCATTGCTGTTACTTTTCCTTCGTCTTTTTGCTTTTCCGTTGCGACGTTGTGCAAGAGCAGGGTGGGTGAGGCTCGGTTGTATTTTTACCCATTGAAATGCGATGCACTGCTCTTCTGACTCGCAACTCACGCCGGGGTCCGAGGTGGGGTGGGGGGGGGGGGTGTAATGAACGGGGCCAACCCTGCGACGCGCCGAAGCCTTCGTGGATGGACATGTCGGTGGTGACTGCGGCGCAGACGCGGCGGCACGAGGCCCATCGACCGCATCTATTGGTAGCCCTTTCACCGCCGTGAAGGGTGCATTCGAGGTGGAGGATTTCTCTATGATTAAGCGGCAGAAGATGACGCTTACGAAGCTGATGCATTTGATAACGGACGCAACGTTTCGGCTGTAGGACCCTGAGAGCCAAGTGTACGGCGGCGACGGCGCGACGCGAAAGGGCGGCGTTGTGCGAGGACC